CTTTAATAGGTTCAAAACCCACTACATTTTATTAGGAAGAAAATCCGACATTGTGCCGGTGTGTCGGTGCAGAACTAGCCTTATTAAAGTATCAAAGTTGATGTCCCTTCACTAACCATTCTGACACTTGACTTGGTAACGAGAGCTCGTCATTCGCCCCAACGGATTGTAACTAATTATGTCTAAAAATATTAATACGGTTTTCCGTATTCATGTACATTTATCTGACTTTATAAAGGTGAAGAAAAACATGCCCCGCACTGCCTAAAAACCAGAGGAGGCTGGAGCACCTTGGTTAAGACGTATAAAAAATAAGTTCAGCCAGACCCTACGTACAATGTTAACAACTGTTCTCTCATTGTTCAGATTGTAGTTTTAAAACATATCCGAATTCAAAGAAAACAATAATAAATTTACACTAAAAAGCACACCAATGACATTTTTTGTGGTTGAACAGACACAAAAGAGAGGCTGGTTTGTATAAAAGAGATTTTTTTAATTTAGTTGGATATCAAAATTCTTCTTAAATCTTTAACAATTTTCTTCATTGAACATTACCAGAAGAGTTCTCATTGACAATTTGGGAATTTCCTTGGAATTGCCAAATATATTTAGGCCTATTAATTAAACCAACAAACTATTAGTAGTTGCTATAGAATCGTCAATTAAGAGAAGATTTAAACAAAACGACCTTCCTAATGACACGGACTTTATTTTGAGAGAACTTTTGAACGTTACATAATTTCCAAAATGAAAAAACTATTGCTTGGAAACATAGGACGTGGCCACAATAAATGAAAAGGAACTATTTAGAATAAATTGTCGAATTTTATATCGTGTCAACAGAACCCTTAAACCCGGATGAACGTCCCTGACCGTTAAAGCCAAACGACGTCCAATTACTGAATAAAGAAGACCGCTAGAAATAATCTAGGCAATCAATATAAATTCTTGGCCACATGAATGTTCGTGGCACTAATTCAATAAATACTAGGGATGTCACAACACATAGGTACTAAAATAATTTGTTTATTTAAAAAAAAATTATAGAACCGTTAATTTCATATAATGATTGATATGATATAATATTGATATAAAAAAATATATATTTTTATTGTTTTCTAATCCTTTAAATATATTAAATCATATTTACAACAACTAATTTAAACACCTTTACAATAATAAGAAATACTTCTTTAAATAAGCTGCAAAAATTGAGCAGATTTTTAACTACTTTATTTATTTTTTTGTTGGTAGCCCTAACATAGTCAGGTGTATCTCATCGTCGGCACAATAGTTCACACACGGCAATTGAGAAATTGAGAGTAATCGCTATTGAGACATTGTTGTTCAAGGCCTTGATAACTGCGTATTCTATACCTATGTTCTAAGTGCATCTGAATACATAGAATGCCTTTATTGTTATTCAAGTTTACTATTACAAAACTGTAATTGAAACATATCTCAAATATAAACAGGTAGTTAGATATGTTAATAGTAGCTGTCGCCCGAGACTCCATCTGCTCGTAATTAAAAAAAACATAATTAGTAGCCTATGTGTTCTTCCAGATTATGTTCTATATATATGCCAAATTTTATAGAGACCCGTTAAACTGTATTAGAGATATCTTCAAACATCTATCCATCTTAACATTCGCATTTGTAATATTAGCAAGATTGTTAAAACAAGATGTAGTGGGGTGGTAGAAATTCAACATCTTGTATTTGAATGTGCTCCATCGGGAGATCAAGTGAAGGGTTTCTAAAGATAAATTGTCTAGTGTACATAAAAGTGATAAATAATTATGAGATTTCAATAGGAAAGAAAGCATCTAATAATTGTGATAGGGGATTCCCGGTCAATATGCTCAAATGATTCATTATGTATACCAATTAAAAACTTCATGGTACACTACTTTATAAATAAGTCGACTACAAAAGGAATAACTCGTAATGAAAAGTAAACTTAAAGATACACTTAAAATAACATTTATAACAAGTAATTAACAGATGCTATTAACAATAACAATCAGTTGTCTTGTTGTTAAAAATAGTTTATTGATAATATAAACCTTTGTTCAAAGTCTATATTATAAGTAATAAACAGAGAATCACAACAAACAAGTTAATCATATATATTTAAAAATACTTTATGTCACAGTGATACCTAACTTTGATATCTCTGTGGCTTTAATTACATACATGTTCATTGAATGAAGTCAACCAACCCGCACTTGGCCAGTGTGGTTGACTATGGCCTAGTCACCCCTAGCTTAGAGTAGGCTCCGAGCCCCTCGGTGGGGATGTATAGTGAGCTGATGATGATGTTCATTGAATAAACTCTATTGTAAGGACATTATCTATTCACTTTGCTAAAAATCCTTAACTATGTAAACAAACTTCACTATTGAAGTTATTACTTAATCCTAAATTTCATAAAATTCATAATATAATGTGTAATTAAATGATATATTAATGTCTTAAAGCTTTTATTGTACTTACATTTGGAAATGTTTACAAATTTACAAATTTAAGAGTAGAAAGAGAACAAAGCACAGACCTCTATGTATATGGACTGGCGATAAGGCATATTATTTTGTGCTTATTTGATTTTCATCATTATTGCCTAATAATAAAGATGAGACCTGTCATGTAACATCAACAGATGGTTTTAAATTGGAAGAAAATAAATGCTGTCATTATCAAGATATTGCCTATCCATTAATTGAGATCAGTGGGGTAGGGAGTAACAAAGAGAGAAACTGTGTTTACAAAATATTGTCTTAATTTGGAACAGAGTATAGATATCAATTTACCTTAAGTCTCAATGTAGCATCAGGATCCACATCATTGTAAAGTAGAACATTCTCCTTCATGTCAAAACTTTCGCGTACTCCGAGATGGTACAGCAATGAACTCTGCTGCACCTGAACGCTGAGGTCCACAAGCGCCACATCTGCATTGTAGAATGTGTCCAGGACACTAGTTTCACCAAAGTCTAACTTTTCAAACTGAAACCAATGTTAATTATACTAACATATTTTAAATACCATTCAAATTGAATCAAATGATTTAGACTTGGAGTGATTTTTCTCTTATATTTTGAAATTTATTAGGCATGATTTTTAGGAAACTTTTTTGCTGATGCTAAATTGGCACATTGGCTATTGATATATATATATTTACAATAAGTTAGAAGGTTGAATAACATAAAACTAATAAATAGAGGAATGGATGGATGGATGGATTGGAAAAGGATATTTCCACTTCCTATTTATAAAATTCCAGAAAGACTAAAGTGATGAAGAAGAATTTATAAAAGAATTGCAGTAGGTATAAAAACAACTAAACAAAATAAAACTTTCAAGGCAATAAATAAAATTTTACAATAAATTTGTGTTACAATACTTGTGGTTACAAGATAAAATTATTTCTAAGAACTTTTAATATGACTTCATTAGTCTTAAAATAAGTTTGAATTATAGAACTGGTGGTATAGTACTTAGTAAACAAAATCAGTTTTCGAATCGTTAACATAACAAAATAAAAACACTGAATAATATTAAATAAGACAAATTATGAACAAATAAAGTCTATGAGGGCTTACATGAATGTGGTGTACATTTGCATTAACCAGCTCTGAAGCTAGTCGTACTTCTTCCAAAGCTCTTCTTCTATGAGCTAGGTTCAATGTTTGGGTTACATCCAAAACACAAGCAATGTCCATCCGGGGCCTCTGGTTAGAGCCCCCAGGTTGGACAGTCGCATTGGACCCATCACTGCAAACACTCTCACAAATGCTTCTCACTTCACCTAAAAATAACACCGGATAAAAATCTTGACTTATAAGGTTGGACGTATTTACATCGTGTTTACTTCAACCCACCTGTGTCCTCCACTGTTGTCGAAGTGTTAGCGGAGCCAAATGTTATCATTTTCTTGCTTGATTTACAAACATTTGTACAGATTTACGACCATAACGATTCTTCCAAACAAACACTAAACAGCAAGTAGTAACTACAACAAGTACATTCTAAAATCAAATGTTATTTAACATTAGTGTTGTACCCGCACAAGTACTATTTCAATTTAAAACGCAAATAAACACTACATAAAATGAGACACTTGCTTCATTTCGCTGGCTACATGTTACGATAGGAACGTTTCGCACAGAACAAATATTCGTCTGATGTATTTAATTTTAAACATTAATTATCTGAATTCTTTTAATACACAACCAAACACTCTTCACGTCAATAAAATTGACATTACGAATACATCTTCACTTCCCTAAGGACCTTGAAAGCATACTGCCATCTGTACGAAAATATGTCTGTTATGTTGACCCTAATTGCCTTTGGTTTAAAAATATTTCGCTAGATGGCACTAAAAACAAAAGCAGATTGCGTATTTTTTATGTCATCTAACTTTGACTACAAATGATTTTAGTACTGTATTTTATGTAATAATACATAATAGCTTTTGCCCGCATCTTCGTCTGGGTGGAATTATAAATAATAGGATAAAATTATCATCTATCCGTCTTCTAGTTTTACTTTCTCGCCAATTTTTAGCCAAATTGATTCAACTGATATCTATGTTTGTTTGTATGTTTAACAATTTTTCAACCAAACTTTCACAATTCGTCAGATGAGTGTATAGGGGCATGTCAATTCTGTTCCTCCTTCCCTTCTCAGCTTTTCTAATAAGTAAATGATAGGCATCGGAGGTGGAATTGACAGGGGATTGATGAATAAGAAAAAGAAATTTATTTGTAGTTGTTACAAATATTTTATTCATGTTGTCGCATTATGTGCTTAGCGGTCACTTAGATCAGGTAACCTCTCTTCGAGCGAATCTCTTAAAGGTCATTTGGCTGCCTTCTTGTACAAAACTATCTCATTGTTGTAATCGGTAATCGTATCACAGCTACTTGTAATAATTTAAAGCTTTATCACAGGGTAAAGGCAAGAGGTATATAAGAAGAATAAACATTATGGTTGAAAATATATAATTTATTAGAAAAATATTATAAGCAGTATGATTTACATAAATAAAACCTTTTTCTTTGTACAAAATTGTATTTATTTATATTGACTAGTTTACATCTAAATTTTGTAATAATACTTTTTAAATATACAATACATCGTAAGCAGCGTAAATGAAAAATAACTTTTATTTAAACTCTAATTAAAAGAGTATCAAAAATCATATTTCATTTTTGAAATCTAAAAATACAATGAAATAGTCATATTTTTAGATACCTATAAATTTGATAATCGTAATAAATATCAATGCTAAATAACCATAATTATAAATATCTTGGTTCTCTGATATCCTGGTACTTCACTTGCCGAGGATGATTTTTCTGGACGCACCGAAGCTCTGTCCAGACTGGCTGGCCAATTTATTTGTACCAGCTTGAAGACCTATAACCGCTTGTCCGGCACGAAGAACATCTTCGCTGAACTCGCGACGGTTTTCCTCCGCGGGTCTGGGTCCTAGGAAGGGGCCACGCCATTCAGGGTGTTTGTACGCCTAGGGAAATAAAATTGCAACTTTTAATAATATAATTTAAACTAATACCAGTCGCAATGAGGTGGATACAAATTTGCGCCATTGTTTTTCTTTTACTTATAAATGTTAACCAGCTTTCAGACTAAGTTTTTCATCGATGCCAAATTTCATTGTGATCCGTTGAAGCGTTCTGGAGATACGTAAAAAGAAACGTCCATCCATCCATCTAAACTAGCATTTATAACATTAGTAAGATGATAAGTAAACTAAGGAATCTATTTATGCGACAATTCAATGTGGTTTCAAAAAAAAGTCGCACATATTTTGCAAACTTAATTGCCCATAAAGATATCGTTACAAAGTTTTTAGTAACATATTAATTTCGCAACATTGAAATGTGTCGAATTTAATCAATATGTTGGCATTACAAAACATGCGCCGGTTACGAAGTTCACTTTCTGCTATTTTAAAATTAAACATTATGTAAATATCAGCTGTATTTGGAACAAAATATTTGAACCACGATTAGACTATGTTTCCTTTCTAGGAGGACGATTAAAACACCTATTTTAGTGGGACTATTAAAGCGCATGTCTTAGTTCTGTCTCGTAATGCCATTCCAACTACCAAACAAAACAGTTCAATGACTCGTGTAACAATGTCACTTACGCATTTGAACAGAGTAAAAGTGTACAGATGAACCATTATTGAATAAGATACCTATCCTTGTTCATCTAGTCAATTAACTTGCTATATAAAATTGGCTTTGTTTTTTTTTTGTTTATATTAGCAGTTTTTTGTTAATTTACTAATATTTTTGTACTATTCCTACTAAGCTCTATGCTTGTGCTAGGACGTGGTTTATAACAATAGTTGAATGGGGGGATTCGAACCCCCGACCTAATAATTGGAAACCTTAACCTTAACCATTAGGCTATCGATGGTCACATATTTAAATCGGTAACAACTGCAATTGGCTTCTCACACCTTGTGCTTGTAATAATCTAATAATATTAGGGTCTACGCTTGTTTTTTTTAATTCCCATAATCTTCAAAGCATTAAACAGCTTGTCAATTAAGTGTAGCTTCTATAATACTTCTTCAAAATAATGTGAGGTTTTACTTAATATACTCTGTGCCACTTTTATTGAACTTCTAAAAGCATTTGTTTCGCCATTTCTATATTAAGAGAACAATGCACTAGAGATATGCATTTAAGGTTGCATTAATATTGTTTGTGTTACATTGTTTTAAAGTTTGTTAATAAACATAACGTCCTGCGGTCTCGTAATAAACAAGACTGTAGTTGACAAATCGTAAGCCTTTGTACCTAATGCCAACAACATTTCTGATTATGAGCTAAAAAGCTCTACTATAAAATAAGTACTAATATAAAACTGCTTGGATATATTTTTTTCTTAATTTACTAATCACAATTTTATTTTTACCTGCCAGTATGTAACTCAATCTAAAAGACTTTTACAAGGTTCATATCTCTGTTTTATTAGAAGGATGACAATATGTTTAAATGCAAGTTTCGTCAGTGGAAACCAGAGATAACTTCATCTTACCGTCCTTCCAAGAGCAAAGATCGTTTGTGTGACGAGTGCAATGTTCTTTTGGTCCCAGAGGTCAGTCGATTGGAACAAATCGACGTCAGGCACGCCGTACTTGACGCACGCATTTTGGAACCTACAAAAAAAGTAAATAATCAATCCAAGTATTTTTTTAAATTAATTCTTAATTCTAATCGTTATATGCTCCCGGTACCTTATGATACGAATTGGTTATTGATAGCCAAAGTTTTAGGCCTTTTGCACACAAGGCAACGTAAATAGTCGAAACACATATTGTATGGTTCTCGAGAATTGCATTGCGCGCGCTCCGTACACACAAAGTTGAATCGTATACGCGCGTCATCCAACCGGTCAGTACAGTAGCGGCTACATGTTGAAAAATTGCGGCGACTTTTACCACGACGATCTTTTACCGCGACAAATAGGTGGCGAGAAACTGTCACTGGTGATGACAGATAGAAATGTCGGCGACGCGCGCTGAACACGAATCTCTATGTCATTGTACTGTATAAGTCACTTAGCTAACTAAAATCGCCGGGATTCGAAGATTTACGTTACGCGTATAGAGGGCTTCGCACGGAAACATACGGAAGTTTAGCGGAATTGCATTAAGAGTAGCTGTTTCGACCTTCACATTGCCGGCCTAATGGAAATCCACTAAGACATGGCTATTATATTACTTAGGTTATAAAAAGTTATATACATGGCAAAAAAATAACCTTACTTCGTTTGCTAATTAATTCATCAGGAAATATTGCAATTAATTTACACACAACGTTTTCTTGTAACATTGATGCTATATATTTTAATTCTACTGGAATAGACAGATAAAGAAAAAAATCGATATATAGAATATGACAAAGGCAAAATAAAATGGGATCACTAGATGGCCATTGCATCCCTTTATGACCCGTCAATAACTGAAATTCTGTTCATAGCATGTCTCTTGCAAATTATGACGTGTCAATTTTTTTTTAAATTTTAAATTAAGAATCATATTGATGCACGTACTGATTAATGTTGTCCATATATTTGTAATCGCCGCCGGAGACGTTGACCTTGGTGATGATACCGGGCTGCAGCCTGTTCATCAGCTTGCAGAGGATGATGCCGTCGCGGAGTGCCAGCTCGTAAGGTAAATCGGCGGGAAACTTCTCTCCGATCACCGCCTCTATCCATTTTTGAGCCTCAACTTCCTTTTCTGGCTCACGCTTGCCAGCACGCTGGGAAAATGAAAGAGATTCTGTTTATTATTTATATCTATAATCTAACTCAAAAAATTGTATTGTGTTCAAGATTAAGACATTCGAGAAGCTCTCCTCATGTTTGTATAAGAACCCTTTCTAAAGAGAACTAGGAACAAAATTAGAAATTATTTACGTTTTATTATTATTATTATGTTACGACTTCTAAACGTTGACTTAAATATCAATTTTTATTTTTATATTTACGATTTTATCCTTCGTGTACAAAGAAACCTTGTTGAAGAAATTTTTAAGGTAGTTCCTGATGAAAATCTTATTGGTTATGCGAAGCTTAATAATCATAAAGTGTACCCGCTGTGAAGGAAGCAGTCACTTGTGTGTCACATTTATTGTTTATAATAAAAAAGGATCGTCGTGCTTTATTCTGATTGAATATACCATTGTATTAATTAATAAATTCTCTTGCATTTTATATTACCAGTGAGTACATAAATAGCTGTAGGTTAACTTATATCTTTATTGAACATGAACTTTGTTGTCGTTTGGTGGCGTTCTGTGATAACGTAGTGAATTGCAATTTTTATAATACAATGTTAATACTTGGGATTTTATGTTTATACGCAATATTTAATACTAATCCGTTTATTCTTTTGTTTATATTTTTCTATATACCAAAACATTTTTCTATGTTACTGTGACGGAAAAATACCACGTTAATTCGGAATTTTAATGTGTAAGTATAAACATAATTATCATATTTCGTTTTTTTATTTTTTAGCATTATTTTTTTAATATGCCGTGCATGTTATGTCCTGTAGTCCGGATCTATTATATGGCTATTTTTGTTTACCTCTCTTTTCACGCAATCGCATAGAAAAGTCTCGGGGTTGTGATGATTAGGATGGTGGCATTGATCACTAATAACCAATGAGAGGAAGACAATATGGCGTAGTTCCATATTGCCAAATTACCGTGATGTCAAAAGGATGTATTTTTGGAGTCGTACCGAAGCTCATTCCAGGTTTCTTATCTTTGTTTTGTCCGTCAGAGTTTTTGGAAGAAGGATAATAAAAATATAACCGCACTGTATAAAGATCGCTGTAATAAAGTAAAGAAAAGGCTTTATTTCCAAACTATAAAGGTAGTCACGTAATTAATAAAAAAAACATTAATGGCCTCAACGTGACAGTGATATAACTTGAGTATCGTTTTGTGATTGTAGTTATCTGACAAGGTTTATTACATAAACTAATGTTATTGTTTATGTCCAAGATTTATTTATTTCGTGACATGTCTTAAAACTAAAAAAAAGAACTAACAATTATCAATGGTATAATTTAACAGTGGTAGAGCCCGCTTTGATATCCCGAATTGTCCCGGCTCGCCCGGTGAAATACCACGATCACACAGAAGACAGGCGTGAAGTGGAAGCAATTCCGCGTTTCGTCTGATGAGTGTGCGTCCCGGAGGCCTAATTTAGTCCTCTTTCCTCTCCCACCATTTTTCTTATAAGAAAAGGATGGGAAGTGAAAGTGGACTTTCCGGATGAGAGGAAGCATGGGAAGGGAAAATATTTTATTTATGTGCATCATCTCCTCCGTCGATTGAAGGTAGGCAACTCATATGCAATTGCGTATGTCTATGGGCAACGGTGACTTCGCTATTTCAAGCGATTTGAGGTGCCCGCTCACTCGTTTGTCACCTTATGGTATTAAAAAAAATCAATTAGTTTGAATGACAATACGACCAATAAAATGTTTTTATTTTTATTGATCACCTTTAGAAAAACTATTTTCATTGTTGCATTCTTCGTTAATGTAATTGAGTTAATTGATATAATAAACGATTAAACAAGCATGTTATTACTGCTCCGAACTGCCATATGCGAACATTTTAATTTATAAGATGACATTTATAAATTGGTGATAGAGTTTTTGTAAACAATATTTAAGAGATATTATGATGTTCATTAAGTGTATTCGTGTATTGATATTTCATGTAAATTTTAACCTTACCCTTGACAATGAGAGTTGAGAGTAGTTCCACCGTCGCAGCAATTGTATTCTCAAATATTGCTGTCTTTGTTTTTTCAAAGGGAATGAGATGAGACACAAGACTCATGGCAGTGTAAACCCATTGCAATAGTTAACCTTCTTGCATGTAATTTCCAGTTATGGATATATGATGCGTATCATCGAAAACAATTGTATTTTTACTGAACATTTATAATTATGTTTCAACCATTTTCTCTTTATTGGATTTTGTACGATGTTTTGTTGTTGATTACTTATATAATATTTTCAATTAGTTCATTTTATAATGAAAGAAACTATTTTTATATAAATTACCAATCCATTTTTCTCGTATGTTTATATGATATGACGTTTGGCTTGGATATATATTTCGAAAGCAATCAAAATGTATTATTTGTACGCTGAAAGTGAATTTATTCAGAAAATCGTTATAAAATATCCAGCCGGGTATTTTCCAAGACGTGGAGCACGGGTTCCGTTTTCAGTTTGGCGCTGTGCCAAACAAGATTGTAATTATACAAGCGGCCGTTCCTTAAGAACGTATTACATCATGGACTTTTTTAATATCCATATGTTTACTGTTTACAAAAGCTGTAAGCCACTTTTTTTTAAATCTGAAAAGTTACGAGTGATGATGAGTTAAAATTAATTACTTGTGTCACTCGGCCTTTGTTAACAGATATGTCTTTTCAGATTAATTAGCAATTATTTGAGTTCATACAACTTTTTTTATTTAAATATATATGAAATTTATGTGTTCAAAGCATGTAACATTGTGGTATGGTGATGTTTTAAAATGATCGTAAAGTCATAACAATGTTTTTACGGGCGTCGTGTTAAGCCCCTATGAAATTATTTTTAACGTTTCATACCGTTGCATTAATAATCAAGAGAGCCGATTGTAGTGATCGGATTTCGACATTTAAAACTCATATTTGGTTGAAAAGCAATAGCTGTTGTTTGCGACTTCGTTTTCTTCCTTAATTTTTAGTAGACTGTTCACCACAAGGTTTTTTGCTTAATTTCTAAAAAAAACTTTACTTACTTTACTGATGAAAGTTAAATAGAACTTTAGACTTGTTACTAACCTTATGTGAGCTAAGCTAGCTTTAAAACTTATTAAAGTAGACATTTCCTTAATAATTTTAATCATTGTATAACATAAAATTAGTCGACATAACCGATGTAGTACAAAGGAATAAACATTACAAATTTACTTTCTCCTCAGAAATTAATAAAAATAGATCTGAACCGAAATAGAGGAATTAAACGTAAATAATTTTGGGCCGAGATCCAAAGCAACCGCTGTACAATTTATGATAAGCTTTTCAAGTCAGTTTTTACTTCATAAACATTTTAATAAAATATAATGCACACATGTTTAGATTGTATTTTATATCGTTTTATTTCTTACTTTATTTCGTCGCCAAGAAATTTATATAATATAAAAAATAGGTACCTAAGAAGGTGAAAGCGAACATCTGCAAAACAATTACGTTTACTCTACATCATGAATATATCTTGTAAAAAAAGTAAGCTTTTTAGTTACTTCCTTTTTTAAAATTAATTAATTGTTCTTATGCGATTAGATACTTTAAATGTAACTAGAAACAATACGACCGACTGAATACCATTTGTCAAAAAAGTTTCGTAAATTAGCATAATATTTAAAAAGAACATTTAAAAAGAATTGTTTTTTTGTAATCGACAATAATTCATACGTCTTGTGTTATAACAAGACGTTTACATTGGTCTTTACAGCCGGAAACAGCATAGCTGAATATCGAATCGGAAGACGCACGCAGAGTAAAAATAGCAATGATAGAATCAGTGCGCACTCGCACTGTTGTAATATTCTAGAATATTGGTACATTGAGAAAATGTTTTTAAAATAAACATTAAACAACTAAAATATTTATAAGTGTACTTTTTTGGAATGTGGGGCGGGGATATTCAAAAAATTATCTTTTTCGGGGGAAAGACAGGGTTAGGTGAGTTTTTCTACTCACTAAATCCCCCTGGATGGCTTTAGTGCGACAACGATGGTCTCCAATGTAACGAACCGGAACCCTGTACACTGTGCCTCTCCACCACTCCAGGAAACTATTTCCTCGTGCCTTCAAACAATGTAGCGAAACAGGACCACGCCGTGTAGCTATCCTCCAAAAATTCACTGTGCCTACAGATCACAATCAAAAGTTCAAGTAGTTAGTAGCTAGTGGATAGCATTCAAAGAAAGCTTTGAAACTCTCTTTATATAAATTTTAGTAATTTACGGGATATACATAAGTGCTAATAGTATTTTCGACAAAATATTTCGTAACTCTTGCATATACTCGCCTTAATTTAGCAACAAGGAAATATTTTTAATAGTACGCATCTTCGTCTGTTACGGCCAAGATGCGACGATTGACAACACATCATCGCGCCAACTTTTGTATCCCAAGCGTGAAGTCGATGCTCGTTAATTTGATGGCATGACAAGAATTGGCAATCGAATGTGTATTAATCAAGTCATTACAATTGTGATACTTTTAATAGTGACAAATAGTTGAATTGATGAATTCAACTATGCGGTTCAGGAAGACCATATTTAGGTAAAACTCCTTTCGCCGAAGAACTTCTTCGAGCAATAGAAGCTATATTTTAAATGATGATAACACAGAATTCATTTATAGATAAGGACTTATAACATGTAACCAAATCATAATAATCTATAGTAAAATTGTCAAGCTCAAACGAACATTTTCATTAATACTTACAACTTACCAAGGTTTACAGTTGCTGTCAAAATTAAATATCATGATATAATCATTACGTGTTTAGACAGCGTCATAGTTCCGTTATGTGACGTGTGCATTTTTAATTATGTATGTACATGGAGAGTACATAGACATATGTATATATGACGTGACAGCCGCCTCCGCCCAAAGCGCTTTGCTGGGCGGGCGGGAGTCGCCGCAGTCTGCCTAGCGATATCGCCGCGGATACAGGTCTATCAGTGCGATCTAAACCGGATACTCTACAACAATGCCTGTACGTTCAATAACATATCATATCTTAAAATGTGCATCTAATTAACTATTCTTTTCGTTAAATAATCTATTACTTTTTCTTGGTACCTTACAATTAACTTTTTATTTTATTTTTTAAAAACTTCAAATTATAATATTTACTAAAGTTTTAAGTGACAGTGTGGCCATTATAACAATTATTTTATACTATTTTTCAACTATACTGTTTTAAGCTTCTGTAATAGATTAATGCGCGCGCGCAGCTGCGTTCATGACCGTCCTTTCATCCCGAAAGTGTTCCAGACGCCGAGATAACTTTCGTTTATGTTTAGTTTATTTTCGTAGATGATACTGGAATATGCCCGCTTCACCATTAAACGGATACATCTTGGCACTGGAGCGGGTATTTTATGGCGCACGTTCAAAAACATGTTTTTATTTGTAATCATTAATGAAAATACTCCGTTCACAGGCCAGGAACAAGGACCAAGAACAAGAGGTTTTGACCTGGATCACTCAAGTGTTGGGTGAGCCATTGCCCAACGGCGCGTACGAAGATATCCTCAAGGATGGCGTCGTGTTGTGCAAACTCATTAACAAACTCTCCCCTGGATCTGTGAAGAAAATTCAAGAAAGGGGTACCAACTTCCAGCTTATGGAAAACATTCAAAGGTAAATTTCTTAAATGATTCGAGTGTGATTGCAATAATGAAGCGGTGTTGCAGGCGATTTATTTTTAAACGTCCATTACAGATTCCAGGCCGCCATTAAGAAGTATGGAGTGCCAGAGGAAGAAATCTTCCAGACTGCCGATCTTTTCGAACGACGCAACATTCCTCAAGTCACCCTTTGCTTATATGCATTGGGAAGAATTGTTAGTATTATTTACGACTAATATTATTTATTGAACTGATATAATTGATAATTATTTGTAATTTAAACAATATTATTATAATTTACAGACTCAGAAGCATCCAGAATGGACTGGACCTCAACTCGGCCCCAAGATGGCGGACAAGAATGAACGCACCTTCACCGAAGAACAACTGAGGGCACACAACGCTGAACTTAACCTCCAAATGGGTTTCAACAAGGGCGCCTCACAGGCCGGTCTGGGTTCATTTGGCAACACTCGCCATATGTAATTACATTAGCCTAAGTGTGGAGGGAAATGTAATCTTTAAAACATCAACAAAACTTTGACATTTACGTAATGATTTGGCGGACTTTTTGACAGCTACGAATAAAAGAGCGGGAAATAATGAGTTATGTTTTTAAAGATCGTTTCTATGTTGGGTACATGAGACCAATGCCGATTTATTCGGAAAGTCAGTATTTTTATTTATTTTTTATTTTTATATGCTTGATAAGGTTTTATTTATGTTGAATTGAGTATTTCTTTAAAATTGTTAACACTGATGTGATATTAATCTCAAAATCTTAGTAAAGAAATCAAATAACAATAATATTGAGTTACAGTAAACAATACTAAGGGTTTAATTTATTTTTTATTTCTAAGTAACTGTAAAATTTCTTGCAATAAACCGTTTTTTAAGAAAATGTTTTATTTGTGCGCAAAGTATGAACCTAATTACTAATATCTAGTGAAATAAATCTATAAAGAACCCAATAAACCACATAAATACGTCTACCCTAGAAGGTGCTCGGGTCTCCATTTACGAGGAATTAAAAAAAGCTTATTGACTTCTGTGTACTTCCAGATTATGTTCTACATCTATGCCAAAATTCAGCAAGATTCGTTAAGCCGTTCTTGAAATAACTTCTAACAAACAAATATTCATCCATCCTTATATCTAAACATTCGCATTTATAATATTAGTAAGATTGTCTTTATAAATATCTATTGACATTATAAAAAGGCGTAATTATTTAATTGATAGCGAACTCCAACATCCATATGCCACTACTTTAAAATAAAAGGTCTATATTTAACTGCAAGGCTACCAGTTCAATGAACTCTTTATACTAAAAATTAATCTTTTTTTTTACGAAATATTAAATGAGATCTTTCTGCAAATGATTTAATTTTACAAGATAGAGATGGTCTTGATGACAAAAGTAGATTAAAAAATTGATACCTCTAAAAAAGAGGGTCGGGGGAGAATATTTTTGAAGTGTACTCTACTTTGACTCTCGAAAATAATCATATACTTTCCAAGGAACCTTCAATCGAGACCGTTCACCTTTAATTTTAAATATTGGGCTAATTTTAATAAGACAAGCGTTAATAACGTGTATTTTGAGTAGTGATGAAATGTGTTATTCTGGAACTCAAATTAATCATGCGATGCTTTTCCTTGGCCTAATTACAGACGTTGTACGTGTGTACCATCAGAGTGCCAAAGCTGGTTTCTGATTCAAATTATAAATTATGAAAGTAATATTTTAATACGAGCTGTTGCACGTGACACCGTCCTCGCGGAATTAAAAAAACACATAATTAATAGCCTATGTGTTCTTCCAGAGTATTTTTTTATGAGAGAAGGGGGCAAACGAGCGGCGGGAACACCGAGGTGTTGTTACACCCACGGACAACTGCAACACCAGAGAAACTGCATAAGCGTTGCCGACCTTTAAGGAAATGGTATGCTCGCTTCTTGTAGATCTCTAAGTCGTAGTGGCTTCCAGAGTATGTTCTATATATATGCCAAATTTCATCGAGATCCGTTCAGCCGTTCTAAAGATACCTTAAAACAAATATCCATCGATCCATCCATCTAAACATTGGCATTTATAATATTAGTAAGATGTAAGTATCGAAAATATCTCTTTAAATTTTAAATGAAGTTGTATCTAATAACATAACTAAAATATCCTAAATTGAAATAACGTATTTAAAACGTTTCATTATAATATCTCCAAGGCCATCTTTTACTTTTACTCTTACATAATGTATTTATCAAAACCACTCGATAGGTGGCGTTGTCTTGCGAAATAAGCATATTATAATTCCGTAATACTTATTTATTATAATACTTAGAACTACATTTTTAACGTGTGTGCAAATTATTAGATGTGTATGAATAGATAATAAATCTATGTCTCATTTAATAATTATTTATTTTAAAACTCTGGTCGAAAAACAACAAAAGTTGTTACACAAGCAAAGCGTGCAGAATTATATTTATTTTCATATGTATGTCTAGAAGAGATAAATGAATTATTTAAAATTAACTTAAAAGCTAATTTGTCTTGCGCAATGAGAGTCTATTTGCAATTATATTATTAGAACCCGCATTTTCTGACTATGATAAATGTGAGTCTACTTTGATCTTGCGTCAAACACACATTAATTGACACCGTGAAGTGTAAATCAAAAGATCATTCAACTCTACAACCAACAAGTAAAGAATGTTCTCAAATATTTATAGGATCGAGTATTGTTCGATAAAAAAGGTAACTCGGAACTTAATATCTTTGATTTGGATATTAATCAATAGGTCTTTGAAACAACTAACATATCTTCGATTCTAGGACAATCTAGGATGGTCTGGATAAAATAGATTCTTCTTATATAAGTATCAAAAAAAAATTAAAAGTGTACTTTAAGAAATCCGGGTCAATAACCTTCAGAGAAAATTTTAGTATAGAAACTACAGAGAGCAAAAAGTTTATTTAAGCTGCCGACTAATTTATTCTTTCCAGACATAACATCATATTGTAGAGATAATAAAATATGTTTATACTAGAATGTAACATACCTAAATTTAGGTTTATGTTACATTTCAGTATAAACTTTATAAAGCTAAGTAAACTATGTGTAATGAATAAACTTCTATATATAAACTAAATGTTCACTTTTTGGGAATATATTACACGTTATGTTAGCGTGGGTAATAGCGTGATATCTTTTATGTTCAATTTGAAAGGCCGCCAAGAGCGGGGGATGAACTGAGTTGTTATTGACACAGCCCTTGACTTACGTACTGGTTAAATCCGGACATTACTAATGATAATGACTGAGTACTCTATTAGTGTAACGCATATTTCTTGCATTTGCAAAACACTTTTAGGGGACAGCTAATCGTTAGAAGTTGGTATTTAGCGTGATTTTATTGAAATAGCAATTTACGTTCTTTGGAATAATAGGCCAATGTTTATTTCAAATTTTTAGCCAGAGATTTGTTACAATTACCTCGTCTCGAAATACAACGTCAAAAGTAGAGTTAAAGATATCTGCACTGATTTTAATACCATTTTAAGATACATTTGAAACTAATCCTTCAAGCTCCTCTGAGAACAATGACAAAGTATTTATTGTGAAATAAACTGCAATGTACAATATGCTACGTTGTAGTAATCGTTGTTTGTGATATATTAACACACGATTACACTCGTCACTGACCCTAGCCCCAAGCTAAAGTGCAATATTATTACGCAAATTACACCTCCTTGCAATTTGTACTCGCTACCAGGATTTTTTATATATTATTAATCCAAAATATATCAAATATATAAAGATGTTCTTAATTTTATTACATTTAATTAATGACAAAGTTTTGAATAATCCTTTTCTTAGTTGTGTCGTTATTCTCATGTATTTTTATATCAATCTAAGTATTTTTCCTAAATTATGCACAGAGTAGCTACTATAGAACAATTGAAAGCTACTGTTTGTTTTCTATTCCACTAATCCTTTCCCACGTGTCTTGCTTCATAAGAGAAGATCTTGCATTCGCCGCTCATATCTCAAGGCCGGTCGGTTGTTAGCCGTGCATTCGTCTGTGGCAACCCCTCGACTCATGGCCCTTACCTAACCAAACTAATTGGAACTAACGAATATCGAAACACGATTTTGACACACATCTGATGCTAATAGTACTAGGAAATCAAAACCTAATAGTAAATCCTAATAATTAGTATCTTTAATTCACAACTCTAACTTGCACTGTTTGAGCGAACTAATCGGAACTACATTGCCATTGTAGTTCTAAGAGTTAACGTAATTTAAAAAGATCGGGAAGAATGGAAAGTATGAGCAATTAGAAAAAAAATAAAAAAATGTAACCAGCCAGTAAATAAAAATTAACACAAGGATAATTCACAATTGATCCTAGTAATTACGGTCGAGAGAAACCTTGACTCCGATATAGAACATATTACCGTCAATCGATTGATTTAATTAATATTTAAATCGACAGTTACTAAAATTTGCATATAGTAATGTCATGATGTTTTATTAAGGAAACAGGAAAATCAACTAGTTGCTGAAATCCTAAATGCATATAATATTTATTTGTTAGCAACTTACAATGTTGCAATTATTTCAAATTGCTACTAACATTGTTTACAAAACTTTGTAATACCAAACGCGATGTATTTACAGAGAGGCATTAGCGTTGCCCTGTTATCTTACTAATATTATAAATGCGAATGTTTAGATGGATAAATGAATGGATATATGTTTGTTTAAAAGTATCTCCCGAACGGCTCATCGGATCTCGCTGAAATTTGCAACACATAGGCTACTTTTTAAGTTTTTTCTTTTGCAACTCCATTAGTATAGATATACATATACCAAATATCAGCGAGATACATGCAGCCGTTCTGGAGATACTTTCTAACAAACATCCATCCATCTAAAAATTCGCATTTATAATATTATAGTAAGAAGTAAGATGGTAGAATTTCGACCGATCGAGAGTCATCCACTTTCACCACTTTAAAACATTGTTTCTAAGTAAAGTACCATCATACTGTTACCACATCATACGGTAAGTAACGGTGCGGAACGAACGTAACACATATAACATTAATTAGGGCTCGATTACGATGCGAATTATTTGACGAGTTAAACTTGTTCTTCAGGAACTAGAACTAGGCTAGGGCACTAACTGCAACTGATTTCGATAAATTGTTAGCATCAATTTAAATTTATTCATGTAATTTTTCTATTCGTTATATTTTTAGTGTTACTTTAGAATACATGGTATTCCAAAGTACTTTATATCTATTTTGTTAGTATATTATAATAAACAATAAACGAAATCTGTGCAAATATATAATAATTTAAATTAAGTACTAAAAGCAGTTTCTAAATACCTCTTTCTACAGGACTAATGGACAATATCAGGAATGATTTAGTGTACCGCCCACTCAGACTGCATTCTGCAGCTGTTTAATGTAATGATCATAGCTTTCTATATATCATTGCAAATGACCTTACACAAATGTATATTTTATTTTTTGGCTTTTATATTACCTACTTCGATTCCAGCTTTTTTACTATGGCAACTAAATTATCTGATAATTAATGTTTACAAACAAATAGCTTACATCAAGAAGATCAATGTCAAAGCGTGTATATCAAATGACGAACGTTACCAACAGTATTCTGGACAAAAAACTATCACTGATATCCTAAAACAGTAACGAGGCGTTTAATTTCATCAGTTGTGAAGTCATTTGTTTATTGACCAATTTACGATAAATGTGTAAGGAAAATTTTATTTACATAGCTAGCAATTATTTTGGTAGCTCCCCACCTTCGTGAGAGGTGGTGTTGCGGCATCAGAGCAGCATAGCGGGGACCGAGTCGCTGCAAGTCGAACAGCCAGCTCATGGCTGAGCAGCCAACCTGACGGGGTTCTAGTCGCGCGTTTCCCAGTTCGCACAAAATGCCTTACAAATTGTTCATAGTGACTTTGGTGCTACACTACACTGCTGCCGAATACTTTAAGATTAAGCGTGAGTATTCTTGGATACTATTGCAACGCGCGATTGTGAAGTTTGACCCACATTGGGACCACGATGATAAACAAACGAGACTCGGTCAAGCCGCACCGATTTCTTAACATAACTTTTATATAATATCTTATGATCTTTGTTTATATTGTTTTTATAATATTAAGTACTTTGCGACACATTATTATACTTTGGTAAATACATAAAGTACGTAATAAATTCTGATAATTATCCTGTTAAACAACATGAATTATGTAGACTAAGTATCCCAGGGGTAGTTAGTGTTCGTAGTAGATTGCATGATCTTATTTACATCTTGAAAAAGACATTTAATGAATACTAGGAAGCATCAAATAGTGTTTACATACCAAGTGTAAGAAGGGAAGAGAGTCACTTTTGATCATCTGAATGATTGATATTTACAGTATAAAAATTATCGTCATCGGCATTTTGGTCTCAGAAACACATGGTTAATCATATGTTTAAAGTATCCTAAGTACCATCTTCTATTTGGTCAATTATCAAAGTGTGAAAAATAGAATAGAAGAAATAAAATGTATTACTCGTTTATTTAACTATATTTTATAATATATTAATATCACCACTTCTTTATATCTCGGATAAGATTACTGATAATATTAGTCTTAGAACATAGTACAAGAACATATATCTGATAATTTCAGTAACAATATGAGTAAAGTTATTTGTCTTTTCTTCATCTTTGTTAAAAGTTATAGAATACGAATTATATAACAACAAAGCTTTATTCCTCCCTTCTATATTCTTATAAACTTACTAAACATTCGATTGTGTATTATTTCAGCTGATTTCGTAAAGACATGTTTCAAAAGCGACCCAGAATTCGACGACTGTTCGAAACAAGCGGTCCAACAACTGTTCAACGCTTTGGGACCCGGTAAGTTATTTAAAATTATGTTTTATGCTTGTAAACAATTAGGTCTAGTATATTTTCTAACACAATAAAGTTTGTTTACAGTGCCATGATGTACGCCCACAATGCTTAATAATTACAAATAATATTGCAAAACCTTTAGTTATTAATATTTACTTACTAATATTACAAATGCGGTTGTGTTTATGGATGGATGTTAGTTAGAAGTTATGTGAAGTACGGCTTAACGTGTAAAACATAGTCTGTAAGAAAACATAGGGTACTAATTACGTTTATTTTTCATTCTCCTGCCGAAGGAGTCGCGTTCAAAAGCTAGTATGATGATGTCGAGACGGTCCAGATTAATTCCTATCAAGCTACTTGTGACATTGGCAACATAAAATGGCTTACTTGTTAGTAAATGTGTTTGTTTACATAAAGAGTAACCTGTTCAAAAGATGTAACACTCTGTATATGTCCTTGACCAGATACATTGTATTCATTAAGCAAATCACCAATAAAATGTTCGAAGTTGAACTAGCTCTGTTACGATACTTTGCCTCGGATTATGGATATTGCGTTATTATATAGTTAGATGGTGTTGCACAGATTGCTAAGAATGATAGTGGGTTGGTAGGTTCACGAGCCACTAGGCTAGTCACATAGCCTCAATTACGAAACATATATAGGTGCATAACTTGCGGAAAGCGAAAGCGCTGTTTCTTCATCATGTTTACATGACTCCGCAAGAGCAACATTACATTTTATAAATTTTTCCGTGGAAAAGCACTTTAAATCCTTCAAAAACTTTGCACAAACTCATTCGTATTATTGTAAATATTTAAATGTTAATTATGTGTTCCAGGTTTACCTGAAATAGGCATGGTGCCACTGGATCCTTTGAAGATTCCTAAAATAAGAATCTTACAAGGAGATGGCCCGGTGAACGTAAATGCGGCACTCGATGACGTCTTAGTGTCAGGGTTCGGAAATACTGAAGTTTTGTTGAGCCAGTAAGTTTAAACTACTACTCATTTATGCTATCCTAGTACTAAGAGCAACTGTTTGATCGACGTATCGAACAACTGACGATTGACGTTACCGAAGATGGATTTAATCCATCCATAATTTAATAATAATATCATAATGAATGACATCGTAAAATCTTCAATTATTTTTTTTCAGGGTGGATGGCAAAAGTTACAGCTTTTACACAAAGGTCAGAGTACCAAAAATAAGGATAGAGGGAACGTACGACTTAAAGGGAAAAATATTGTTAATTCCATTAGTTGGTAGGGGACTCTGTTGGTTTGAACCCAGTAAGTTATGTTTTGTTTTATAGTAATTTAATTTGTGTTATTTCAATTTTGAAATGAGTGACAAAGTATAATTTAATTTGAAATTATTTTCAGCAAATATGACTATTGATATTGTAAGTGACGTAAAGTTGTATGATAAAGATGGATTTGTATTCTTCAATGTCACTGGAGCACACGTAAAATATACTATTGGTGGATTAAAATTAAGAATGAACAATCTATTTGATGGAATTTCATCTCTTGGTAAGTAAAAAATTTTAGTCGTTTTTGACGCCATCTATGAGCCATAAAGAACAATAGTTGGATTGAGGATACGCTATTTTTGCCTTTCACATGCAGATGGCAGTAGGTTACTCACTATCTCACCCATTCGCTTCTCGTTTATGTAGTCCTAGTATATCAAATTTACAATTTGCAACGTTTTATTTTCCCGCGGAGGGATTTTGTAGAATTTTGTCCTCGTTCGTAAAAAAAACTTCATTAAACTTCACTTCCATGAAATTTTTATTTTCCCTTGTTTCATAAAGTTTTTTAAAAGTGATTAAATTAAAATATTAAATTAATTTTGAAGTTAAAGTTTTTTTTTGTTTTTAAAACGTTTTTATTTATGTTTCAGAGGACAGCACAAACGCGTACCTAAACGCTAATTGGAGACCTGTATCTGAATCATTACGACCAATCCTGTCAAAAACAATTGAAGATATTTTATTGGGTTTCTTGCAACAACTATTTCACAATTTACCTGCGAATTTCATGATCGGCGATATTAAAAATAATATTAAGAAATCTGATAAAAAAGTCTGATCGAAGTAGATTTTTTAGAAATGTATTTAAGTATATTTAGTTGTAATCATCTTCATACTATCACTTTCTTTCTGTGCAATAGAAAAACAATAACAATTAAAGCACGTTTGTGTTCAAATTAGACAAACTAATTAATTTATAGCAGTATTCAAAGTGATTTAATGTTTGTGCTAAGGCTAGATAAAATATTGTACTGATAACATAGGTGTAAATTTGTAAATAAAGTTTTTAAAACGACGACATTTTTTAATTTAACATTCGATGTAAAATTCAGTTAGTAGTCAATGTTATTAAACCTTTTATAACTTACGTTATGTTCTTACTATTTATGTATATCATGATTAACACATTCTAAAAAAATCGCTAGTCGTAAAACACCTGAAATTCAGGTAACCGTTTCAAGGCCACGTAGTAAAATTAGTCATTGGTAAGCATTACACACACGTACGAATATCCAATAACAAAGTCTATATATAACACTTTATTAATCCTAACATTACAAAGAAAGTGGTAATAAAGTTAATTAAAATAATCGTGATTCATCGTCTTCGAGAGAAATGTTACTATAGACATTACTTAGGGTGACAATTTTTTAAGAAATGATTAATATCAAATATTATATGATTAGCATCCAAATGCTTTGGGTATTGTTTATTAATTTACCTGCCAAAGAGGACGACCGCCAGGCATTTTTCTACGGCTAATTCTTTGGTCACTACACAGAGATGAAAAATCACTATTCACTACAGTGAGTTTGGCACGTCCACCACTAGATGGCTCTCTTACAAAAGTTGAGAAGAAAATAAGCGCTGCTGACTCAAATAACGTGTTTTATACGACGCCAGAGAGCTTTGGGTGTAAATATCGGCGCGAACGGACACGAGGCAGAAACGATCGACCAAAATAATCGCCATACGTGGCCAGTACGTATTATTGAGATATTTTTACCATTGGGAATTACTAACTCGCCGTTTACTTTTGGAGTTACATTCTGCGAGTTTAGCTTAAAATATTTTACGAAGCTACTTTACGAGTGCTGCTTTAAAAATAACATTGCTGTTGTTAGGAATCCGTTATTTTTTTTTTCTTTACAACTAAACTAAGAATTTCTCCAAGTATGCAATAATGCCTTGGTTAGAAGCTATAGTGTTGATTAAGAGGTATTCATAATTAAGATGACCTTATTTTATTTACCTTTAGACAAAATTTCCAAAGGAGTTATTTAGTTATCAAGAGACTGCTTATTACTCAGTAAGTGAGCAAGGGGCACGAAAACGAAAAACGCAATAGAACAGGCGTCACGAGAAAGTATCCAGCACTGAAGTTTCGGATTAAGATTGTATATTTCATGGTCTCCAATATTTTATTTTTAGTTGGACGATGAAAAAAATGCAAAGACCATATCACTCAACCTCAATTGAAAGAAGATCGACTAATTTATTTTTATTAATTTAAAAATCAATTCGCCTGCCGACAATGAAGAGCAAATTACAAATATGAAATATTAATATGTACCTTTACACGAATTTACAGAAGGGTCTAGTCTACTTTGACTCTATTGTATACCTTACCAACATAAGTAAACAAACAATAATACTGTTAAAGAGGATGTATCAACCTCCATCAAATAAAGAAAAAATCTAAGACCATTCTGATTTTAAATTAGGCCTGACATTACCCTGGTATTGTTTCATTAAATTACAAAGGAATATGAAGAATGAAGGATATAGTCTAATTATTTGACCAAAATAATAAAGTCTAGAGATATCTGAATCATATCAGATCAAACAGAACCTTCAACAGATAATTTACGTATACTATCGATCAAATTACCGTGCAATTACGTAGCGTAGAGACGGATCGATATTTTTACACGTCAATACTGTAATGACATGTGTGCTATTGTATTCATAATGCATTTGTCTGTGTGTGCATAAACCGCATCTGCATTAAACCACTCTTGAATTCTGTATTCCTTGTCCAACAAGTTCCTGGTAAGACTAATCGTGGGAGGAATGAATGTCTCGATTTTCTGTATTCATCATATGATAAAAAAAATTATATAATAATATAAAATTGTAATTATTTACAGATTGAATATTAAAGAAAATATGTCGGCATGATTCTTATTTTAAATTGTAATCATTTTATGTTTCAACTTTTTTGTATAGGATTTCAAATCCTTTAAAAAAATCCATACCATTCTTAAAAAAATACGCAATGCAAAAATAAATCTATTTTTTTTGCAAAGGTAAATTTAAAATGAAAATAGATTCATCGAACCCAAAGAGGGGATTTTTTTAATCAAAAATGGAAACTATAAAGATGAAAATATTTTTAACATTAAAGCAGCATTTTAACATTGCATTATCATGAAGGTTAATAAAAAGGCCGGTGACCGAAAGATGCAATGACCCAGAGAAGGGTGCCCGAAGGGGATAGGGCCCCTTTGGTGGCGCTTGTGAAAGGAACGATCACCAGGGCAGCATGAATGCGAGGAGATAAAGGTGCATACATGCACTTTGCACCGAATGCGGGTGACGTCACTCAAGCCAATAATGCATTGTTTGCACTTTCGTGTTAATAACTCGTGGTTTATTTATATTCTGCTCACTGTGTTAAACGTTTTTATTCGTTTTTCTTTTATATAAATTTCGTATTACATGTTCCAGCTATGTGATTTCCTTACCTGTTTCTACATTGAAATGATAATACATAAATTATGAAAGCCTTTATGGAGGATTAAGTAATTGTATAGATAGAGGATATCCATATCACATTAGAAGGATGTATGTACATACATAACATTGTTGATATAAGTAAACCTAAAAAAAAACAAAAAATAAAAGCAAACAAAAAGTAGTTAAAGGTCAATAGAAAATAAAGTCAGTATTGTACGTATTCTCAATTATTTCGTTCTGTTTTTTGTGTTTTAACGAGAACTCTTTTATTATTCCTACAATTTTAACAACAATCTGTCTAATCAACTGATATGGTATGTAAATTTTGAATTTAATTTTCTTTAATCCAGTGTAATTACAATTAATTAAATTAATCACGTTTAAAATCTATGTATGTATTTTGAATTTTAAATTATTTGGTTAAGTACGGTCGGTCGATAAACCAGTGTAATTATGAACTTTGTTTTGTATCTTAATGTGGTAAAATTAAATTGTAATATATTATAATTATTGAATTATAAAAATATGTAAACTATATTTTACACCACGATTCATCTGTATTTTTGTTCAAATTTGAAGAATAAGGAAAACTGTCATAAGTTCTATGATTGATGCGTGGACAATAATTTTCCTTTGTCCGTCTTTCCAGAACGTTCCGTTGGCTAGATATCAAAAATAGGTCGTACGTACTTGATGAGCGGTTCAAGGTATCGGGGGTACAGAAATAGCATCATGAGTACGAAGCTCGGAATAGTTTTGCCGTTAGCTGTCGTCTGAAATGATCTCGTTCGTCCGTCGACACAGCCTACATCTCACAAAATGTTTTAAATGTACTCCGTGGAAATTTAAGGAACATATATACTACAAATAGAAACGATTTAAATGACGCTCTTTAAACTTAAACTCCTAAAGAATCGAGTAAAATGTACGTTGGTGCGCGTCCATCGTTAAAAAGTCAGTTTTGCATGTAGTAACTACGGCATTGTATAAGACATATTGTTGTCTCTGTTCTTTCAAAGCATATAAGAGGGATAGATGAAATATAAATTACACAGGTTATAAAACTAAAAATTATAATTATAATAAAATTATCTGAGTTACCTACTTTTCTAGTAGCGTAATTTAAATGGAGCTGTTGACGTTTTTAGTTCTTAAGATAAACCTATAATTAAAAATCTTTTTCTATTAAATCGTTTTGGTGTTCAAACTATTTTGAATGTACTTTATAATCTTATAGAATTTTATAATCGCTGTAATCCCTCTCTGGTGGATTTCCAAGAATTTGAACAGTTTAATAATGACGAAAATAATTATGACGTTAAAATTGGCTATTTTAACGTCATGATAAAACAACATATAGAGAATCTTAAAAATGTGATGAATTTCGATGAGAATTTGCGTCTTTAAATTTTGAAGAATGAAAATTTTATTAAAAATTGCAATGACGAAGACGATGAGTCCGTTCTATTTAAAACTAGCAACGTGTTGCGAAATACGGTAACGGCGTTACTGTAACGAGAGATAGACGCTCGAACGACGTTAAAAATAGAGCCGAAGTAACGGCGAGAATCTCTCTGCATCGGAATGTATGCGCAGTATGGCGGCGTCCTAGAATGAGTTGCGGAACGCTTGGAACGTGGGCGTCCACTGTTGGAGAATCTGGAGCAGGCAGTTACGATCGCCATGTACTAGGAGAGCATAAATATCCACGAGTAATATTTTATTGTATGAAAGCTTAATTGCGCCATCTGTTGGCGTAAAGTGGAAACCTTATTAACAAGTTAAAGCCAACACACTATGCTACTTCGCACGAGATGTCACTGATAGCAGTTTTAAAAAGTGCTATATAATTATAATTATTATAGGAGCATTGCGTAGGTACATTTTATAGTGAACTAGTTCTGCAAATTGGTAATTTTTTGCTTGTTTTGGTTACATTCAACTAAAGTGTAGACATGAGTGTGTAGCAAAAATTTCGTAAGAAAAATTTCGTATCGTCATTGACAAAATTTGTGCAGCGTATCGAGCATAATAAAGTACCTACAATAAAAAATGTCATACAAATTTTGTCAAGGCGACGACGTTACTAAGACGCTTGTCGCTACTATTCTTGTTAGGACCCCAGTTTGTTACTCTTGAATCCACTATGAGACATAAGTTAAAAAAGGATGAAAATTTTGTTCTTATTAACAAGCTAGTGTGTTTGTACTTGTATTGCTTAGTGCTCTTGAATGTGTTTGTGATATCAACGACATTGGTAAAACTTTTTCCAGGGTAAAATAAACAACATATAAGTCTATGACAAATATTTAATATAACTGAGAAAATCTATTTACATACATAGATAATGACTTGAAAGCTCTAAGCTTAAATAAGTAACAACTACAAATGACTAGATCTATACATAATACACGTAATACATAATAGTGATTAAGTATATACCAAACTGATAATACATAAATGTTGTATTTCACATAATTTTTTTTGAATACTTCATTACTTTACATTGCTTATATTCTTAAAAAAATATTTACAATTTTTTTTATTTATAATTAAATTGAATTAATTAAGTATAATTAAATTCACATGCAAAATATAATTTATAAGCTTATTGCTTGAGACACGTATTGATTTATTTACAACATTATGAATATAATCTATCATGGATGATTATTAATCATTTTCTTATAATTTAAACCCAATAATAATAAAGAATACATTATTTTATTAAAACAACAGCGTTGGTGGCTCAGGGGTCAAGCACTTGACTTGCAATCTGCAGGTCCTGGGTTCGAATCCCGTCATGTACCAATGTGTTTTTCGATTTCCGATTTACATATGTACATTTATCCGAAGTTCTTACGGTGAAGGAAAACATCGTGATGCAACCTGCACATATCTGAGAAGAAATTCAAAGATATGTGTGAAGTCAACCAACCCGCACTTGTCCAGCGTGGTTGACTATGGCCTAATCACCCTTAACTTAAGGTAGGCTCCGAGCCCCCCGGTGGGGAGGTATAGTGAGCTGATGATGAATTTAAATAAACTATCAAAAATGGCTTAAGTTAATTACTTAAAAATTATTTCGATCATTTGTTTTTTAAGAGATTTTTCTTTTTAATCTATTACCGAGATCTAAATACTTAGAAATAAACACTTAAAACCTATGACTAGACTTTTAGAAAGCTTTACAGTTTGGTTGTTCTTAGTTGGTAACATGTTTTAATTACTTCATTTACTCTAATTCGTCATAACTCTCATTTAAAGTTTGCTGCATGTCATCGCTATCGAAATTAGAAGTTGTGTCTTTGGAGTTAGTCGTTTCTTTCTGCGCAAGCAGTCTATCGCATTCGTTTAATTGTCCGTGCAGAATATTATAAATACGGGACATTGAAGCCACCTTTTCTTTGCAAGTAGGATCTGTTTCAATCGCAAAAAGCCTGGAATCCAATAATTTTATAGCAGCAACTACGTAATTTCTTAAAGTTTTCGTCTTGTGCTCGCTTCTTATCCGATCTAGAAATGCACATACTTGTCTCTCTCCACATAAGAGAACGTCAACATCGTAAGCCAATGGTGAATGTTGGCGATGGAGGAATGAGATCAATCGTTTGGCGTATCGTCGGTACGTACGGTAAGTTTTACGCTTCCTTTGTCCCAATTTTCTGCCCATCGTCATACATTTCTTCATATCGTCGATCACAGCTTTGTAGCCAGCATCAATTTTGGAATCAAATATATCCCGCAACCTGGTTTCGACTGGTTGAAGATCATAAGGGGCCGGAGAGGGAGGTAGAGACGGAGACGATGGTGGAGGAGATGGTGGCAAAGAACTTGTCCTAGCATTTTCTTCTTCACTCGATTCGCTTGAAACTCTGCTAATAGTTGGACTACTTTCTGGCGGTGGGTACGGCCGTGGTCGGGTTCTGGCTCTCTGAACTCTAGCCGGACGTGGAGCCGTCCTAGCATTGTACGCTGTTAGAACGTTGGCGTCCTGTTCGGTGAGTGGTCTACTTCGCTGCGACGCCGCAAGAGGAATTATTCTAATCTTAACAAGAGCATAGCTTTGATGTATTTTTGCTTTGATTCGAGGATCGTCGTAATCTGCGCCCCATAGGTCACGTATGGCAGATTCTTTGAGGTATCGAACTTGACAGAGTTCACCGTTGAAAAATCTTTTTCTTTGTTGTTCGTTGAGGGTGTCTCTCTCAGCCCCTGTGAGGCCGTGGATTTTGGTTAGATGGTCGGGTAGCTTGCCGTATGTAAACCTAGCACAATCTTCAATCGGGCAAGGTATGTTGGCATGATTTTGCTTTTTGGTACGCGTTGTTGTCGATGTGGGTTGTGCGGTCATCGTGATTTGGAACCTAGAAGAGATTACAAAAAACTTTACTTAATTTTATGCATACAAAGCTAATTTACTAAGCTAGAAAATGTTTAAAACGGCGTTTAATATACAAATTAAAATTTATTTTCGTACAGTCATCTTCTACTATCAAATAACCATGTTTCGTCTAAATAATATTTTTAAATCATTTACAAAACTCATTTATTTTTACTTAGTTTAAAAATAATTGTTTACGATAAATAAATCCATATTTGATGCAATAATTAAAAGTACACATTTCTTTTTGTTTGCTTATGTAGGTACTTGAAAATATTTAATATGATAGAAAAAGGTCAGTCTGCAGTTTGAGCTCGACGCTTACTGTTGTCGGTAAACATGTAGCGGACGCGTCGGTAGAATTTTTCGTGTTTATAGTTCTAAAATACATTAAATTAATCTGAAACAAAAAGTGAAATGTGCGAAATGTTAGTGCAAACATTTGAATCAACGCGGCCCATTCTTCTAGCTAGGTATGTACATGTATTAATGAAACTTGTAGTAAATAGTATAGTCGTTCGTTTACAGAATAGATACTGGATTAATTTATACCGAATTTGTATGTAGATGACACATATGAAATTACAATAATTTAGAATAGACTTCATGTATTCTTTCCCGACGCTTTCAAGCAGATTATTATGAAATTCTTATTCGTTATTAAATGCAAATTAACTATGCAGGTCAAAGAATTGTCGACTGTAAACGAAATGCAATAGAAAATAAAAAAAGTATAAAACATTAAAACAATACAAATGAGTGTTTAGAAGTCTGGTTAATTTATTTAGACGATGTTTATCAATACGGAGGGTGGCTGTCCGAGTATAATAATTGTGTTGACGGAGGCCGCGGGCTGTTTGTCCAGCGCCCGGTGCCCGGCCTCTTGTACTGCGTTTAATTTATTGAAAACAATGAACCTCCTTTACGCAGGAGACGACTGTCCTAAAACATCCTTGTTTTAGGCAAATAACCGTTGTCTTAATTCTATTTTGGCTTAAGCATTCAAGTGTAGGTGAAGATGTATAACTCTAATTTTTAGGGTTCCGTACATCGAAAGGAAAAAACGGAACCCTTATAGGATCCCTTTGTTGTCCGTCCGTTCCGTTCGCTTAAATGTCGAAGTGATTGCTGCCTATTGAAATCCGTATTTCCAGATGGTTGCCCATCCTTAACAGACAGAGAAGAAAACGCACAGACAGAGGACATTTGCCCTTAAGAGTGCTTAATTACTATTAACAACTTCGCTTTCAAACGTATTAACAGTAAATATTTATATCTTGATTGTAGATTAAATAATTATTATAATATTGAATTAAATATTGGATCTTAAAAGATAATTTTATTTCTGAGAATTGTTAGAAGCATTAGAACAAAGCTTCAAATATAACTGCGCGGCCAAGGCGATGGTCTGATTGAGCCAATATTTATTTTGGAAATTAGCTTGTATTGCCAGACGTCTTCGGCCGGGGCCCACTCACCGTATTATAAATAATCTAAATTAAACGATCCTCAAGGGAGCGCCGGCTACGTCCTATCTTGCTATTGTTTAATATTCTTCAATTAATAATTTTGATTAGTCTCCGCTACAGACCGCTGTTGGAAAGTAAAACAAGCATTTGACGACTGTTTTAATTTTTATTGCCGTTTGTAAATATTTTCATAATATTAAAAAAATCTTATTACGTATGTACTTAAGTAACAAGATAATGAAGGAATCTACTTTTTTGTTCTTCTACTTTAGAATTCTCGCCCTCGTTCGACGACATCGTATTTTTCTAACACATCACAATCGGTTAACCCATTGCTGGTAACCCGTGGTAAACCGTAAATGTGTTTAGAGTTATGTTTAAGAGTATAACTTTTTAATACTTTCCTTTTTGAAAGCATATATGGTCCTGCGAATATTTAAAATTGAACACAAAGTAATAGTTTACTTAAAAGTGCATGCATACATCTTGTCCAAACATTCGCTCATATATTTCGCAAATTCTACGTCAATTGCCTAAGATAAAGTCTACGCCAGTACCTACAACTAATACTTGAACAATAATTAGTAGGGATGCCAAATGTAGACGTTTGCACGAAGTCCTGTCCTTGTTACAGAGTTGATATGACAGAATTGTCAGGGAAATATTAGAGAAAGTTTCACACAAAGATCTCCCCTTTTGTGACTCGAAGTGGCGCGACTTGAATAAATAACTAATTTACATATTTAATAACAGGTATCGCAAGCAGATTCAATTGTTGAGGCTGTGAATTATTAATCCGTTCACCGGTTAGCTTATTACCCTCAGGCTGATATAATCAAAAATTTAAATCCGATGTTCTTTAATTAGCTCGATATTAAAATTAATATTTGAATTTCTTTTGAATTTGAAGATTATGTTTACATTAAATTGTAAATTCTTTAAATACACAAATCTTTGGTTCCTTGAAGTATATTATAAGCCTAGAGGCTTCCAATTTAGAAATTGGAAGACTTACTTTGATAACAAGCTGTCGCTCGCGACCCCGTCCGCATGCAAGTAAAATAAAAACTTAATTTGTAGCCTATGTGATCTTCCATACTATGTTCTAGAGCTATACCAAACGTCATCGAGATCTGATCAGCCGTTCTGGAGATACTTTTAAACGAACATCCCTTAGTAAGATAGCAAGAAGTAAGATTAAAAAACATAGTCATGGAATTATAATTGAGCAAGTTGGCCTATACTGCATACGTCCGTCAACCTCAAGGACTGAAAGACTCTTCGTAGGAAGGTATATCCCCCACGATCTGGTCAAGGTTGCAGGAGTCTCATTGGTGAAAACGGCACAAACGATCTTTGCGGCTATTAATGCTAACATTTACCGTCAGTTAACACTGCAATGAAAAAATTCCTATTTTTTGAAAAATAAAACAGAGACTTTATGTTTTTATACTTGTGTGTTTGGCAATAAAAACCTACATATGGACATATGGACCGCCAACAGATTGTTTTTGATTGATAATAAATTAAATAAAAAAATATTATGTTATTACGCATTTATGAATAAAATGCAAGTAAGTTGTTCTATATCTGTTTAAGAAAACCCACTAAGATTTACGGGGAAGACTCATGATTGCATTGAGGTGTTGCAGGGGTGGTTTGGGGTGCAATACCCCTCGTCCGCATGACGCGGGGTCGCATCCGTAAACAGTAAACAAAGGGGAGGTACACGTAAACAAGTGGAAAATATATTGTTATTTGCGATGTAAGGAAGACAATTAGGAGAGGTATCGATTTGGTGATTAGGAATTCTATAGAAAATTTTATGTACGAAATGTTTATTTGTTAAGTAAAATTCATCTATTTTAATTTTTGACAAGTTGAAAAATAAATTTGATGTTTCCTTTTTTTACCACAAGGTGGCAAACGACTGAGCTGCCACCTAAAATCGCTGAAATAGCGAAGTGTTTGTTGCCCATAGGCATACGGAATTGCATATGCGTGCGTTGCCTACCTTTAATCGACGGAGGAGAGGATGCACAGAAAAAAACATTTTCCCTTCCCATGCATCCTCTTACCGGAAAGTCCCCTTCCACTTCCCATCCTTTCCTTATAAAAAAAGGATGGGAAGGGAAAGATGACTAAATCAGCCTCCGGGACGCAACTCATCTGACTGCACGCGGAATTGCTTCCACTTGACGCATGTCTTCTGTGTGGTCGTGGTATATTACCGGGCAAGCCGGGCCAATTCGTGCGAAGATGTTAAATCGGGCTCTACCACTGTTTTGATGAGACAAATTACTTAATTGTATATGTTTAATTAAGTATATACATCTTTAGTATGCAACTGTATTTTTTCAGTAAAAACATAGTTTTGGCTGCGTAAATTACACCTTTATGTAAAACAAACCTTTGTCATAATGTAGATATAGGGGCTCAAAAACACGAAAATCGAAACAAAAATCAATCATATTTTTGCAACCACATGTATAATCGCTTCCAATTTTTTTTTTGTTAGATAGAAAATTATTTACATGATTTTTGTTTTGTGATAAAGTTTTTATTTGGTTTAGCCACAAAATGCGTTTTTCTAAAATCTCATGCGTTTAATTCTTTTACATGAACAATAAGTTACTTATTAATATTGATAAAAAATTTAATAGCGTTATCTACCAAAGTTAGGCACTATTACATCGTACATATTATTTATTATATTTCAAAGAAATGTTTTAGATTTTAATATTTAAAAATTAATAAGATAATATAGAAACCCATTAAATGTAATATTTACAAGTTAGATTTTATTCCTTTACTTAACTTATTTAAATTGATTTTTGTAACCGCATCGAAACTATAGGCCAAAAGCTATGCGACGGTCGCGAATGTAATAATTTATAATTATGAAATAAAAAATTAAACTTATGTGACATAAAGTTCAAAAAGCTATTGAAAAAAAATATTACTTATTAGAATTTATTATTATTATTATTTTAATACACGTGTAAAAATATGTTTGTCATTCAAATAAAAAAAAATCACTTACCGCAATCAGTCCCGCAAAAGTTTGGCGAACGCGCAAAGTTGTTTACGAGTGTAAACACGTTGTTGTTGTTTATGTATTTCCAGTACCGACGGTAACGAGACGTGCTCACTCAGCAGCGGCCGCCGCTAGACTGATGTTACGTAACTGTATCCTGCTGGAATTTCTTCCTCATCCCTCCGTATTGCATTTTTTCATGCCCAATTTTCATTGACCTACTCTACCCCGCGAAACTGGATATAACTTTGGTCTTGTAGGGGGTGATCAGTTGATATAAGGAGTTCTTACTTAGCTGGTCGGTTTGTCTGCTTGTAGAAAATGGTCGTAAGCTCTCGGAAAATGTCGTAAGTGATCGTGGGCGAAAATCCGCCCATAAAATCGTCTGCGTCAGTACTTCAGAATAGAGTACAATGGTCTAGCCTTTTGATTTCTTTTATGTCTAGAATTTGTTAAATAATAGTAATTAACTGCTGTAAATTAATATTCAACGCTTGCTTATTATTTATTGATTAAACCTTCAATCGTTGGCCTTTGATTTTATAATCTTTCCATACAAATGTATGTTAATTGAAAAAATAATATTATGACTGTATTATTAGATACAGCCAGTTGTACATATTTAAATATCTCATCTTCTATTAATAACATTCCATTTCATTTTTAACTATACGTCAAATCCAATATTCACGGAGACATCCCTAAAAGACTTAAGATATACATTGTATAATTTTAATATCCACATTATTAAGACACGCCTATTTAATAGGCGTGGTCAATCTTACACACGCCCACACGCCTCTTCCCTGCCTTAAGGAATGGTCTCTCACGTCCTCTTCTGTGAGATCCTTTATAACACCGCTGATTTTAAGCCAGCATCTGCATTGTTGAAAAATTAAACGAATACGTCGTCACTCGAACATGTTCGTGTTATACGTACGTTCTTATTCGAATATCGATCGAGGCAACTTTCTAGACGATTGATTAATGCCTAGCCGATATGAAATATTTAATTTGCTCTGAACTGTTCATTGTTTGAACGTAGAGTTCGTTTCATTTAATGCGGACGGCGTCATTTGTGACTAGTTGTTAAATACTTAATAATTTTTCTAAATATATAATAGTGAAAGTGGAAGAAGATATAATATCCAACTTATAGATTAAATGTGTTTATAATTGAGGGCCGACGGTTAGCATAGTTTCATTAGCCAAGCGATTTAGAAAACGAAAGCATGTTTTGACAATACCATAAAACTAGGCGAAATTTTTTTTTTTATAAAACAAGCAATGAGAATACTAAGGTGTTCAACGACACCCATGGACATCTGCAATACCAGAGGGACCGCAGATGCGTTGCCGGCTTTTGAGAAGATGATACGCTCACTTCTTGAACGACCCCAAGTCGTAGCGGTTGGAAATACCGCCAAGGACAGATCAGCCAAGAATGAAGATTATCAGCCAAGCATTTTCTGTTGTGTTAATTACTAACTGGCAAGTAAGAGTATGTCGAGTAAGTTTGAAAAAAAAACGTAATAATTAATAAAAATAATTCACATAAAATGAATTACTAAAATTGTATAAGAGATTTGTAGATAAAGGTGTTCCGAAATTATTTTGTTTCTCTATACTTTTATACGTTACATAAATTAATTAAAAGTAAATTTTCTTTAGTTTTCATGAGTTCTTTTAGTTATCGTCCAATGTGGAATTATTGTCCGTCAAAAGATTAAAAAGCCCTAAAAGGTTTGTTTTCTAAAAATATCTTGTTGGACTGTATTTCCATGAGCTTAGTTATTTAGTGAATAAGTGACCGACTGATTCCAAAGCCTAGAAATAATCTTTTTTTTTACTTTTAGGGTTTTAAAGGAACAGGGAAATAATACATTTCATAAGACATCATTGGAAAAAAAAATATTTTACTTAAATTAGTTTGTAAAAAATAAAGATCTCTGAAAAATTATTTGAATGTAAACTTGTTTTGGTCGGAGTGTGGGAGCTAGGTGACTGCGTTATCATTAATCAGCCAATAATATGCAGCACCCCGTAATTTTTTTTTTCGCGAACCGAGAACGAATTTAGCGGTTAGAGAAATAATATGGATAAGATATTTTTTATTTAACTGCATTTAATCGATTTCTTAAATTTTAAATTAACTTATTAGTGTTTTCTACTTTGACCAAGATGAGTATTTACTGTATTTTAGTAAGAAATACCAAATTTACGACGGACGTTACGTTTTTGTACGAAAATTTAACTATTACTCTGAAAGGAAAATTTACTATTCTTAATGTAAATATTATTTTTAGACTGTTATAAAAATCTTGCAGCTGTCTTTCCTCTAGAATGTGTTGTAAATGTCAAAGAGATAACTGTTTTTCAGTTTTTCTCATTCCACTTATTTTTTTTTATAAAAGAGGAAAAATTATGTACAAGAAATTGATGTACAAAATATTATTTTGGAAGGTATTACAGTAATTCTATATTTATACTTACCAGCCATGTCCATACTTTGATATTGACCAAATTTTTTTGACATAATGATGATAAAAATATGATGTTGAGCTCCCCTCCGGATATCCGATGGATATTGTGTTATCCGGCGTCACAATGAGAGCCTCGTGATAAATTTGTACCGGGAAATGCTCCTTGATTGATAACGCTTAGCGTTCGCTGCCCTAGAAGACTATGTATTTTTCTTGACATGCAAATCTCAAGAAAATGTTCTTTTTATTTTGTAATTTCAAATTGAAGCTGTAAATTCTACTTATTATTTGCTTTGCAATAAGTCTATGTAAAATATGAAATAGTAGATTTCTATATAAACAATTTAGTTAATAAACCAATTCACTTGAGAAAAAAAAATATTTAAAAATCCGGACTGTTTTTCAGACTTAGGTATCGTATAAAGTTTTATTATCTTGAAGCTACGTAAATTATTCAAACTTTCGTGAGACATTATACTAAACTGATATATAAACACGGCTAAACACTCACGTATATACGTCCGGTGGTGGCACCGACTAGTTTCGAGCCCATCGGGGGCCCTTCATCAGGATGAGTGGTACTGGTATTATTTCACGGACGCGGCCCGCCGCTCACATCAGGGCCCCCGATGGGCTCGAAACTAGTCGGTGCCGCCACCGGACGTATATACGTGAGTGTTTAGCCGTGTTTATATATCAGTTTTGAAGCTACGTATTTAACTTAGCTGCGACTATCGTAAAAAGTAGATTTAAACTACTTTTCATTGTTTTTTTTTACAAAATATACCTGCTTTTCTGTCCGAAGATCAAAATATTTTTCCAAGCTGTCCAAACAAAAATATTCAGCGTAAATCATTGAACGGTATGCATAATAACGTAATAAAATAGGCCCCCGATACTTTGTTTATTGTTTTGATGAGACAGCGGAATCTCCCCCAAGCATGCAGGCTCTACTGGAAGGGAACGAGTGCACCTTCTTTGCCCGCATATGCTGCTTCCGAAATAACAAGCTTATTATAAGTAAAAAATATTATAACAGATAATCCTAAAAAAGTGTGAAATTTACAGCAACTTTTAACCGAACTAAACGTAAACTTTATTCATTATTATTGTTATTCATAGACTTGTTTTAATAGTGGTAGAGCCCGCTTTAACATCTTCGCACGAATCGGCGCGGCTCGCCCGGTGAAATACCACGACCACACAGAAGACAGGCGTGAAGTGGAAGTAATTCCGCGTTTCGTCTGATGAGTGTGCGTCCCGGAGGCCTAATTTAGTCCTCTTTCCCTTCCCACCCTTTTCTTTATAAGGAAAGGATGGGAAGTGGAAGTGGACTTTCCGGATGAGAGGATGCATGGAAAGGGAAGATATTTTCTTTCTGTGCATCCTCTCCTCCGTCGATTTAAGGTAGGCAACGCATATGCAATTGCGTATGTCTATGGGCATCGGTTACTTCGCTATTTCAGCGATTTCAGGTGGCCGCTCGCTCGTTTGCAACCTTTTGATATAAAAAAAAACTTGTACCACAAAGTTAATTGTGCTCTAGACGTCTTTTGGTTAAAAATGTCCAGAAAATTGGCCTAGTGTACAAGCCTTCCATCAGTTATGCAGGTAGTTGTATCTTTACTTGTACACCGGCATAATTTGTATAATAGTTTCGCAAATGAGACGTATAAATAGTGTACTATCGTAAATAGGTTGTAATTGATCGGAATCGGTTTGTTTTGTCGACGCAACGATTAAGTTGTTGAATTTTTTATGTTCCAGATAGTCGTAACAACGGACGACTGTTTTTCGCTTCGTTTTTGCAAATTTCACGTGATTGTCAACTGAATAATGGATCCGTACGACGATTGTAGCGAGACTCGCTGATTTTTCGATTACGCGACAATACACTGCATTGTATTGTTTGATGCGCTTTATTAAAAAGTTTCGATCCGTTTTATTATATCGTTCTTCATAAATATCACATATAACAAAGCTTTTGTTTTAGTTTCAACATTTTAAAAAAGCTTGAAATAAAGATTACAGTTGATAAAATATGGATAACAAACAAAACCCTAAAATATTGCTGCAAAAAAATGTTTTCCTAAATAAATGTCAAATAATTGTTGTTAGGTTTCTTCTCGTTTTCCACCAATATACATTTGGTATCTAACAATTTCACTATTGCGTTTATTGATGTTTGCAAATAAGTATTTACCAATTGCTTAGTTCAGTACAAATTAAATAAGATGCTAACGTAAGACTTAGTAGTAAACAAAGAATGTGCTAAAACGGCACACATCAATTCAGTAATTTGAAAGCCCTCCTTCAGGCGATTGGGTGTCGCCACAAAGTGTCGAGTGGCCAATAAATGAGAGCTCGTTTTTTGTGCTTGAAGCAACGCTCTACCTCCGATAATATCGGCAGCCGTCGCAATGTCCGCGTGGATTATTGCTATATAAATTGTTCGCAGTTGCCCATTCGATTGTGTAGGGTTGTCGCTATTAATAGTTTTCGTTTATTATTTAAAATAATTTCTATGATAATTTTCGTCAGTTAAACATACAGAGAATATGATTGACTAATAATATTACTTGCGGTAATAAATTACTTTATATGGA